GAGTGGTTACATTTTACCAACTACTGCAGCACTGCAATAGTTCCTAATCTCAAAGAACGATAGTAATTTTTCAGTTGAAGATAATAAAGATGATGGTAAGTCATCGGAGTGATCTGCTGTAGCAATATAATAATGAGAGGCATGCATTAGCTCGATAGTTCCTCCCATATATCAAAGTTAATTATGCAGTCGTCCATTGAGCTGTGTGGAGGGAGATAAATGCGAGTAGACGGAGCCAAAAGCCGTGTTTGGTGTGCGCTTACCTTTGACGCTGGTTCACGCGAGCTGGTGATCAGCTGGCAGACAATTGCAGAGGTGTCTCATGAATGGGAGCGTGGTTGGTCATGAAATTTGCTTGAAAAGCCATTATAGGCAGCTGGTAGAGCGACGCAGGCAGCTCGCTTAACGCATGGGCGAGGGAAAAAATATAAGCTAAGCGCCGTGGGGTATAGGCCGTGTAGAATGAACCACATCATGGTTGTCTTACCATATGACTTAAGTAAGTCTCCGTTGAACTCTACGGGATACACAACCTCTAACTTCAACGGTATTTTAGAAGAAAAGCAGATCTTGGTCAACGGTGACGGCACCCAAAACGCTGTTCTTCTCCTGATTTTCTGTGCGTAACCGCTACTTTCAGCCCAGTCTCATAGTTAAAATTCTATTCTCAACCCGGGATTTTTTCGATGAGCGTTTTGACCGACTTGCACTTGTTCTTTCTTTGCAGACCTCTATTTCGGCCCATTCGGTTCCCGAATCCGGTGATGCTTGTTGATTGCGGCAAATTCCGGTCCAGTTAATTTATTTTTTTAATCTGGATGTCCTTTCGTTCTGGTTCTTCCGTTTCTCCTCCGATTCCTAGTTCATCTCAGGGCTTGATGGTTCTGGACTTCCTTCGGCTCCGACTACTTTGAGTCAGATTAAATGCATCTCATTATTACAATAACAATCTTGTGGCCATCGATGTCAACTAGCTGTTTTCATCCAGCTGATCTCACTTAGGTTTTATCACGGTATTTAGATTAGGTTTTATAGACAAAATTTGCTTTTACATTGCATAAAGGCTCCCAATCTGTTTTGATGGTGGTTGTTTGCTGCTTTCCTAGAGCTGTGGATCACGTACAGTGCGCTATCGTGACATTTTTTGAATAAGCTGGGAAACGTTTTTGAGATATGGTATCGTCAGTGTTTTTTCTGTCTTTATTTTGTTCAGTTGTTCGAGTTGTACATTCTCGGCGGTCCTTCATTGAGATTTACTGGATGAGAGCTTCCTTTGAAAGTTTTTCATGAGTTTTTTCGCTCTTGGCTTGAACTTCACTGTGCTGCGTTACGCCTCAGTTTACTTCAGTGGTGTTTGTAGCAGCCCTTATTTTGACAACTACGGTGGTTGCATTGACAGTTCAAATTTTTATCCATACGCGTGGCCCTTTGGTATAAATCTGCATTTTTGGTTTGTGCCTCTCACTGGCAGAACACGTCAGATATCACTGAGACGAGAACAAAAGTTGTCGAAACAGTTGGAGGGTGGCATGGCGCCAGGCATGATCATAATGCTAATTTATGTGTACTAGGGATTGATCGAAAAAGGGACATTATCATGAATGGTTGGCATTACACGATATAGACTTTCACGGACCCTCGGGTTTATACACAAGATCGCGCCTTTCGCCCAGGGTTCCCGGTTCGGGTTTGTTCCGCGGCTCATGTTTGCTTGAAATGCACAAGCAAAAACGTTGTAGCACTGCTTTCCAGTTTCTCAACACGGTGCCGTAAACTTTGCAGCACAGAGGCGCAACTACAAAAGCATCTGAGCTGGCTACTAAATGCAGCGTGAACAACCGTCGGAGGAATATTATTCCACCCCGAAATGAGAAGAGCT